CAGGGAAGTCATTCCCTGTGTCCTGTCCCTCCAGGCCTTGTCCCAAGTCCCTCTGCAGCTCTCTTGGTGCCCCTTTAGGCACTGGAAGGGGCTCTGAGGTCTCCCTGGAGTTTCTCCTCTCCAGGCTGGACCCCTCCAGCTCTCCCAGCCTGGCTCCAGGGCAAAGGCTCCAGCATCACAGAATAGTTTGGGTGGGAAGAGACCTTACAGATGATCTATTCCCACAGCCTGCCCTGGGCAGGGACACCTTCCACCAGCCCAGGTTGCATCCAACCTGGCCTGAAACACTCCCAGGAGTGAGGAATATACATTCCATATCTATGCATTTCTGTATTCCATGCATATTTATACCTTCCTTGCCTATTCCAGTGTCCTGCAGCACCCAAACCATCCATCCATGTGCTCTTTTCCTTCATATAGTAAGTGATTTTTTCCCCCCTCCTATTACAGCTGGTGACAAGTGACAACCCCAGAGCTCAGTGCTGTGTCCCAGAGCTCAGTGCTGTGTCCCAGAGCTGTCAGATCCATTTTTCCAGGCAAATCCAGGCTGGAAGTGACACTCAGATGCACAAGGTTACTTAGGCCTTTGGTGTCCCCTTGTGTCCCTGCCCAGAGCAGAGCCCAAAGAGCTGCCACAAAGCCACTGAGGAGGGAATCAACTCTGTCTCATTTTACCCCACTTTCTATTCTCATCCCTGAGCAAATCACCCTCCTGATGGCACCAATTCTAAATAAATTCAGGGTAATTCAGGTAACCTTAACCATAACCTTATTTTAAGTCATTAAGGAGGATAAATAGATTGAGGAGTCAAGGGAAGAGGCACTAAAACATCCCTTCTAGACATGGCCTGTGCCACAAACCTTTCACCAGCCACAAAACAGGCAATTCCTCATATATTTAGGGATCCTCCTCACTGAAAATGAGAGAATAAATAAATCCTTAATTAAAAAATAGCATTTTACCTCGTTTTTTCTGCTTCCATAGGGCTGAAAGCAGCAGGACAGAGCCCAGAGCTATCCATCCAGAGCTATTAGATGTTGCCCCAACTTGTTGGTGCTGAATGAAAAGGACTCGAGGCCAATAGCAAATGCATTTCCAAATGCCCTTAAGGAAAAGCCCTGCCAATAAACAAAGGATTTCCTTTTCCTAAGGAGATTATTCAGCCAAGAATCTGAGGCAAGATTAGTTTTATTCTGGTGCTGAGACTCCCTGGAGGATCCCAGTGGAGCTGAGAGCAAGTGAACACAGAATGTGTGTGTGTGTGTGTGGGAAATCACTGCTATTCTCCTAAAAATCAACTAGTTTTAAGGCCGAACCATGTGATCTCCACTGGAAAGTCTGAGAGAGGTTAATGCAATTAATGGAGAGCTAATTCAGCCACAAGAAGCCACTTGTAATCCCAAACCACCCAGCAGTGACCTCTTCCCAACAAACCTCATTTCCCTGGAGCTGTTGATAGGAACAGAAGCTCAGTGTGGCTGGAGATGTTTAAAACTAAACTGAGCTAGGGAGGTGATAGAGATAAGGGACACCAAGGCTTGGATATGCCAGAGGGGGAAAATCCAGGCTCTTCCAGGAGGAGCCGCCGTGTCCCAGCTGCTGTCGCTTGGAAGCGACAACGCCCCAGGGCTCTCTATGCCTCCTGCGCTCGTCTGGAGCTGCTGGGATTAATTAGCACCAATTAACTGATTGAAACAACTCGCCTGGAGCTGGGAACTGGGACAGCTGGAGAAGGTAGGACGAGAAGGGAAAGGCTGTGGGAAGGAGTGTGTGGTTGGGGGAGGGCTCAGGGTCTCTTCCTGATGATGAAAGGATTTAGCCTTTCCACATCTGAACTCCAAATGGTGCTGGGAGAGGCCAGAAATGATGGCAAAGGGGTTGGGATCACCTTTGGAGCAGTGTGGGGAGCAGGGAAAGGTGGAGGAAATGGTCAAGTCCTTATAGGCAGAGAAAGGATGATGAGGGGACTCAATCCTGGCTGGGGGGGGCGTGGGGGAAGGGTGTGAACTAGGAGAGCTGGAGAAGGTACTACAAGGAGGGAAAGGCTGTGGGAAGGAGTGTGTGGCTGGGGGAGGGGTCAGGGTCTCATCCTGCTGATGGAGGGATCTGCCTTTCCACATTTAAACTCCAAATGGTGCTGGAGAGAGCCCAGAAATGATGGGAAAGGGATTGGGATCACCTTTGGAGCAGGGAAAGGTGGAGGAGATGGTGAAGCTCCTCAGTCAAGCCCTTACCAGGTAGAGAAGGGATACTGGGGGGGGCTCAGTCCTGGCTTGGGGGCAAGGTGGGATTTTGCAGTAGTATTGGCATTGCTAAGCATGAAGCAATTCTCTGCCCTGAGGGAATTCCTCCTCCATGGGCAGGAAAACAGCTCAGGCTCATTGTCCCACCAGTAGAGCAACCCCAAATTATACAAGTTTGAGCAATTGGAGAGGGTTTTGTTCTGTTGTGGAGAAAAATTAAGGCAGTGACACATCTCAGGGGGTTTGTTACTGGGATTTGGCTTGTTGGGATCCCACACTGGACTTGTTGTCCTGGATGGGACTCTGCAAACCTGCAGGGACAACATCCATGATCCTGCTGCAACTTCTGGGGAAGGGAAGTGTCCAGCACCTGCAGAGAGTTAAATCTCCTGCTGGCACAGTGTGGGGTCTGTGTCCTGTGCCCTTCACTACTCCTGCTGGAGCTGCCTGCTTCCCTGTCAGCATCAGGCATCTCTGCATCCCATCAGGACCAGAGATCCCTGCATCCCATCAGGCATCCCTGTATTCCCATGAGGACTAGACATCCCTGCATTCGCATCAGGTTTCTCTGTATCCCAATCAGGACCAGCTATCCCTGCATCCCATCAAGCATCCCTGCATTCCCATCAGGACCAGCTATCCCTACATGCCCATCCGCACCAGCCATCCTCGTGGGAAGGATGAAATGCTCTCCACCCCCTCAGGAACATCTTCCCCCAGCCCAGGAGGATTCCTCCAGGATTCCCACCAGGAATCCTCCAGTCAGCAGGGCTGGAGCCGTGCAGATCCCTGAGCTATGGAGCAGATTCCCGGCTGGAGGGGGTGGGAATTTCTCCCCGCCGCCTTTCCGCGGCGTTTCCCGGGTGTTGGTGGGATCGCGGTGGGAGTGGAGTATCCCTGGTGGGCGTGGGATTCGGGAGGTGCCAGGAGCTCGGTGGGGGTGGCTGGAGCTCCCTCTCCTGGCTTTGTCGGGATAAATCCAGGCCGAAATCCTGGGGAACGGGAAGCTGCAAGGCTGGGAGCACCCGCCGGCTGCAGCGACTGACGTGGGGTCAGGCTGGAGGGCACTGGGGGCAGACTGGAGGGTATTGAGGACCACAGGGACACACGTGGCAGCACCAGTCCCTTGGGATGCAGATCCACAGCCACCTCAGCAGCAGAGGGATGCTCAGGTACCTGGCACAGGGATGCTCAGGGGGCTGAGCTGGGACCCCATCAGATGTGGTGGTCCCAGTGCTGCTGTCAGAGGTGGTGGTCCTAATGTTGTCATTGCACATGGTGGTCTCAATATTGCCATCAGGCATGACAATACCAGTGTTGCTCTCAGAGGTGATGGTCCCAATGTTGCCATTGGATGTGGTGGTCCTGATACTGCTATTGCATGTGGTGGTCCCAGTGCTGCTGTCAGAGGTGGTGATCCCAGTGCTGCCATCAGACATGGTGGTCCCAGTGCTGCCATTGGACATGGTGGTCTCAATGTTGCCGTTCAACGTGGTGGTCCCAGTGCTGCCATTGGATGTGGTGTTCCCAGTGTTGTTGTTGGATGTGGTGAACTCAATGTTGCCCTTGGACATCGTGGTCCCAGTGCTGCCATTGGGCATGGTGGTCCCAGTACTGCCATTGGGACAGTGATCCCGATGCTGCCGCAAGCATGAGCTGCCCCAGAGACAGGTAGAACAAATCTTCATGTCTCCCAGTTCCCTGATCTTCCCTCTGTAATGAAGGCAAAACACAAGTATGATCCTCCCTGAGCAAAACTGTTCCTTAAGGAAAGCTCCACTGAGGGTGGATCCACTTCCCTAGGCCCCTCCAGCCTGGGCCACTGCTGGCCCTGCCCTGCTGCAGTTGGGCAGCCAAAACGCAGCACATGGTGCCCAAATTAGAGCCATAACTATAGCATGGAAGCTCCACACAGGGCAGAGCGGCCTGGATCCTCTCCAGCTGGGAATTACACAGAGGTTAATGGTTGGGTTTCAGACCAGATAATATCTGGAGAATGTCAAGGCTGAGCTTTCATCTCCTTGGCTGAAAGTTCATCTGGAATAACAAGACGTGGTAGAACCTGGTGTTGAACCACATGGACAACCCAAACTATGACTTGAAAGCAAAATGTTTCCGTTTTAAAACACTGGAAGGAAGAACAAACATCTCTGTCTCACTGACTCTCCTTGCTCCTCCCTCCACTGCCATCATCTGCTTCCCATTACCCCTGGAGCGGGTCCTGGTCAAGAACAGGAGGAGAACTTCATTTATACTCAGTACAAGTATGACTTGAATGTGGTGCACAGAGGAAAAATCAATGAGGTGCAACATGTGAAGGGAAGTAGAGACATGGAAGCTCCTCCTGCTGGAAAAGCACTTCTGAGGGACAGGAGATAGAATCATCAAGGTTGAGGAGACTTCTAAGATCATCAGATCCAACTCTTCACCTGTCACTGCTGTAACCCCTAAACTATAGCCTCCAGTGCCCCATGCCCTCTTAAACACCTCCAGGGATGGTGACTCCACCACCTCCCTGGGCAATCAATTCCAGTGCCTGACTATGGTGGGAGCTGAGATTCCCACCTCAAACTGGTGGCCTTGATTCCCAGTCCCTAGGTGAACACCAGGACCAGCAGCAGCAATAATCCCAGGTGAGGAGGAAGCTGTGGTTGAAGTGTGGGTCTGGGGGAGAAGCCCAGCTTGGTTTGATTGGGTCCGTGCCAGCTCTGGGGCTCCTCCACACCAGATGGGAGTGGAGGGTCCCAACCTGCTCTCCTGGCACCATCACCTCCTCACCCCATGGGAAACAGCTGGTTTTGAGCAGGGAGGAGGGACAACCTTCCTCCCTCTCCTCCCCAGTGAGGGTTCCAGCAGCCTCCACACCAGCTGGGAGTGGGGAGTCCCAAATGCTCTCCTGGCACCCATCAATTCCTCACCCCTGTGGAAAGCAGCTGTTTTCCAGCAGGCAAGAGGGAAAACCACCTTCCCTGAGAGCTCATTTTCCATCCTTTCTCAGCCTGGCTCTTCCAGGTTGAGCCTTCCCTGCCCAGACAGGTATTGATATGGATTTAAGGCTACACTAAGTCACAGCTGCTGGGGAAGAACAGCAGAAGGAATGAGGTGGTACAGCACAGTCTTCCTGATGGGGATCCAAGCTGAGCCCCTGGAATCATCCTGGGAGCTCATTTTCCATCCTTCCTCAGCCTGGAGCTTTCTGGCTGATCCACCCCTTCCCAGACAGGTATGGATAAGGATTTAAGACCAGGTTTAAGCTGCACTAAGTCACAGATGCTGGGGAAAGAAGGGATGAGGTGGTGCAGCATGGAGTCTCCTGACAGGGATTCAAGTTGAGCTCCTGGAACCATCCTGGAAGCTCATTTTCCATCCTTCCTCAGCTTGGAGCTTCCTGGCTGAACTATCCCTGCCCAGACAGCTATGGATAAGGATTTAAGCCGAGATTTAAACTGCACTAAGTCACAGCTGCTTGGGGGTGGGCAACAGAAGGCATGAGGTGGTGCAGCACAGTCTTCCTGATGGGGATCCAAGCTGAGCCCCTGGAACCATCCTGGGAGCTCATTTTCCATCCCTCGTCAGCCTGGAGCTTCCTGGCTGAAATATCCCTTCCCAGAAAGGTATGGACAAGGATTAAAGCCGAGATTTAAACTGCACTAAGTCCCACCTGCTGGGAAACCCCCCATTGAACTGGAATCCTGGAGGATCCAGTGGCAGATGGGAAAGTGGCCGGAGCAGGGCATGGAAACAGAGCTCCTCTTGGAGCAGAGCTTCCTGGCAAGCAGCCTGAGCTGTGGAAAGGCAGTCCAGGGAATTTGAGAAGGCTTTTCCATGCCTGGAATCTCTTGTTAGATGGACGTGTTTGGCACTTGCATTTTAAAGGCAAACCTGACCCCTTTGGCTCACTTGGGCTTTTTCCCCTGGCAGCAGGGGAGGGACAGGAAAGGGGGGAACAGATTCACGGGGGGCACAGGGAGCACAGCCCCCTCAATATCTCCTGCTGACCCTCATGGGGGACCTGCCAAGAGCCCCACAGGGGTCACAGCACCACAAGCTAGGGACTGGTTGGGAAGGGACTGGTGGAGGAGCAGCCAGTGGGAGCCCCACAAAGCTCCTCAAATGGGAATGGTTTTAAACTAAAATATGGGATATTAGGTGGGATACTGGGAAGGAATTCCTCCCCGTGAGGATGATGAGGCACTGGAATGGATTTCCCAGAGCAGCTGTGTCTGCTCCCTCCCTGGGAGTGTTCCAGGCCAGGTTGGATGGGGCTTGGAGCAGCCTGGGCGGGTGGGAGGTGTCCCTGCTTGTGGCTGAGCTTTAAGGTCTTTTCCAGCATAAATCATTCCAGGATTCTATAAATCCCAGGGCCACAGGGGTCTGCCCTTGCTCTGCCAAGCAAGAGAAACTCTCCCAGGCTCTCACCTTGGCACAGGGATGAGGCAACACTGGCAAAGCAGGAGACAGTGACACTCAGCCAGTAATGACCTTCCAAGAGTATCACCAGCAAAGCAGATCCTTCTCCAAACACCTGCAATGTGTTCAGTCCATCTCCAGGCTCTAAAAATGGCTCATCCTTCCTTTTTTTAGAGAGGGAAATGCCACCACTGAGTGCACTTGGAGCCAGGTGAACCTGGAGCTGGAGATCCACACTGCTGCCTCTTGGCATTGCTGGTTGGAAAGGCATTTGAGCTGCTTGGAGGAAAAGTTTGTGGAGGCTGAAGCTTCTTAGAGTGACCCAAATGTTAAGGAGAAACCTTCAGTGTGAGGAGCAGGAGATATATATCTTCCATTATATCCATAGTAGATAATAACTCTGTCAGTTACTATCTCTTAGTGTGTCTCTTCTTTCCAAATTGGAATTCCAAGGGCAATGGGATTGCCTCCAGGCAGGAGGAATTTCTCCAAGGAGGGAGGAGAAATGAAGAGCAGGAGATGAGTTAATATCTAGAGTAGGTAGTAACTGTCAGTTACTACCTCTTAGTATATCTCTTCTTGTGTTTAGGGCTCAGCTCCAGGGGTAGAATGAAACTGAAAAGAAGCGATTCCACCATCCCAAACTGGAATTCCAACTGCACTGGGATTGCCTGCAGGCAGGAGGAATTGCTGCAAGGAGGGAGGAGAAACCTTCAGTGTGAGGAGCAGGAGATGAGTTAATATCCATAGTAGATAGTAACTCTGTCAATTACTATCTCTTAGTATATCTCTTCTTCCCAAAGTGGTATTCCAACTGCACTGGGACAGACAGAAGGAATTGCTCCAAGGAGAGAGGAGAAATGAGGAGCAGGAGATGAGTTAATATCCATAGTAGATAATTTAGAATAATCCCATTAAAGTATGTTTTTTAACATGAAAATTTCCAAGGAAAATGAGTGGTCTTGTTGGGAATTCTTTGCTTTCTCTTCCTTGCTTTGAGAGGAAGTTAAGTGATGCAATGGCTTTCCCAGGGATCCTGAACTTTTCCTTAGAGAGGGGAAAAACCCCAACCATGTGATGATTTTCATGTGTGGAAGAGATGAGAGCAGATTCCAAGCTGAGATACCTGGAAACTTGTCCAGACACCATTAGCCACACAAGGAATTCTGAGCACAGTTACTCAGCACAAGCTCTTCCCCAGGGGATTTCTCCTCATGGATCTTCTCCAGGATGGAGTTTTGTTCAGCCAAAGGAAGGAGGAAATAGAGACTAAATAAACAGCAAATAAATAACTTTGGGTGAGTAAACAAAGGAATTCTTGGGTGGGAGGCACTTCTTTGATGATTTGAGGGCTCTAAATAGGGAACTGGGAAGCTGCTTGGATGGTGAAGTCACTGTGGGACACTAGGAGAGCCTTGGGATGAGGTACAGGTAGGAAAGAGGGACCTTAAACATGGGAAACCATTCCTGCAGCCCCAGGTCATCCCACCTTGGGATGCTGCAGCTCTCCCACCTCTATCCCTTTCCCAGCAGGTCCTGATGCTCCTCAGATTCCTTAAGGATAGTTCTAACATGCTCCAGGATGGAGTTTTTGGGGTGGCAAGTAATCTGCTCAGGGGGGAATGTCCATACTGGGCACTCACTGCCAAAGGCAGCAGGAAACAGCCAACAAGGAATGTCTCAGCTTTTGGATTTTGGGGGTGTTTTGGTGAAGAGAAAATTTGGAGGGTTTGCCCTCTACCTCAGCCCTGAGATCCCTGCAAGTCTTGGCCCCCACACGAGGTTGGTGGCATAGAAGAGGAGGTGAGAAGCATTTTGGCAAGGGCTAATCAACAAAGCTTAGGCTAATTGAGTGTTAGGAGCTAAGGGCCAAAGTTCTTCCAAACACAGAGGAGGTGCCAAGTCTGCACTTTCCAGAGGCTAAATGACTTCTCTCTTCTTGGGGAAAGAGAAGCCAACATGTGTCATTGAGGCATCACTTCCCTGGAGGAGTTTCTCCTGGGTCAATCTGGATTTAGCCCTTGAGGAAACATCACTTCTCTGGAGGAGTTTCTCCTTGGGTTACTGTGGATTTAGCTCCTTCATTGTAGAAATTTCATTGCTCCTGGAGTTGCTTGTGGTTGTGTTCTCCTCAGCTGTCCTGGAAAAGTGAGTGGATGGAGGT